GCTCCCGCACCGGCCCACAGCCCAGTGCCCCCTGCTGCCCCCGCCCCGGCCCCACAGCCCAGTGCCCCCTGCTGCCCCCGCCCCGAGTGCCAGGGGCGTTACCTCGCCAGCAGGCAGGGGGTCAGCCAACGGGGGCTTCTGCTCGGCTCCGCCAGCCTCCGTGGGGCCGGGCTGCTCAGCTGGGAAGGGGGAGAGACAGCGACGGGTTACAGATGCCAGCCGTGTGGCCCCCCCAGCCCGGCCCCCTTGGAGGGGACAGGCCCCGGCCCCAGCCCCTGGCCCCAGAGCTCACCCCATTGCTCCCACTTTCCGTCCATCTTCGTCGCCGGGAGGGTCGCGCTGGGGATACACAGGGACAATTAGACCATTTCCCATGGCAGAGAAACCCCTGGGCTAGGCCCGGCCCCTATGGAATAACCCCCTATAGCGGCCGGCCGGCCTCACCCCATCCTGTACTCCCCTCATACAATACCCTGCCCTATAGACTCCAGGCTGGACCCACTGCCTCGGGCACATTTCAGGGCACAGCTCCTATAGACTAATCCTCCCTCTGCCCCTTAGCCCATCATCCCTATAGGACTGGCCCTATAGCACAACCAGTCTATACCACCTGTCTGTCTGTGCCTCCGCCTATACCCCTCCCTATAGAATATCTCCCCACTGGCCCCATAGACTATTGCCTTTATAGCTCCACCAACCCTATAGAAGACCTCCCTTATATCCCCACTGACCCTATAGGCTCTCACCTATATGTACCTTGTACCTGCCCCATAGAATAAATCCCTTCTATAGCCCATATACCTGTTCCCTATTGTGACGTTTATCCTGTCCTATATGCACTGCCTAGAGATTGTCCCCTATAGACACCCTGTCCCTATAGAACAGCATCCCTTATATCCCCCATCCTGGACCCTCCCCCTACAGAATATCACATCCTGTATCCCCGGTTCTGTACCTGCCCCTATAGAACACCCCCTATATTCCCCAATCTCTCCCCCTCCCCCTATAGAAATATTTACCCCTGTAGCCTCATTAGTTCTTATGGGACCCCCCAATTCCCTCCCCATCCTGTTCCCACCCCCCCATGGAATGTCCCCCTATAGCCGCCCCATTCCACCGCCGCCCCCTATGGACTGAGTCCGCCTACATCCCTGCCCCCTAACACCGCCCCGCACCCCACTGCTCCCCCCCGTACCTGGCATCCCTCGGCCGGCGCCTCCTGCAGCAAATTACAGCAACGGCGCCCACGAGGACCAGGGCCAGAGCAGCCCCCGCGCAGCCCCCGACCAGAGGCAGGAGGGCGCCTGGGGTGCCGGTGTCTGGGGGGAAAAATGGGGGCTAGGATCACTCACCCGGCGCTGAGATGCGACTGCCTCTGGGGTGGGGCACGGGGGCTGGTTATACAGGGATCCCTCGTCCGGCGCTGAGATGCAACTGCCTCTGGGGTGGGGCGCGGGGGCTGTTCATAGAGGGATCCCTCGCCCAGCGCTGAGAGGCGGCTGTCTCTGGGGTGGGGCGCGGGTGCTGGTTATACAGGGATCCCTCGTCTGGCGCTGAGATGCGGCACCTCTTGGTGGGAGCTGGAGAACAGCCGCAGAGAACACCTGCGTCCAGTGCCCTTCAGTGCCCCTTTTCCACCCCTCTCGGCCGGTCGCCTGCAGCCCCAGCTGAGCTGGAATCGGGTGGAGAAGCGAGGGGGGTGCAGGGCAGGGGGAGAGCCACTCACCTGGACTGACGGGGGTGGGGCTGGTTGGGGGGCTCTCCTGGGTCCCGTACCCCCCCGGGTCACGCTCCAGGCAGTAGTCCCCAGACCGGGGGGGATCCCCAGGCAGGCGGCAGCTCCACAGACCCTCCAACGAGCTGGAGAAACCCTCTATCGTCACCTTGGACCTCAGGATCCGAAGGGCTGTGGAGTCTGGTGGCGGCTTCCCATTAAGTAGCCACGTGGCGCCCCCTGCTGGGGGTGACGTGGGTCCCTGCGCCCCACAGGGGGTACAGGAGAGGGACACAGATGCTCCCTCCCTGACCGGCTCCTTGGGGACCGCGGCGATGGAAGCCCCGGCCAGGCAGCCTGTGGGGGCAGAGCCAAACGTGATGGAGCCACTGAAAGGGCACCCCCTGCTGGCGGCTTCCCCCCCCCCCCGGCCTGGGCTAGAACCCATCAAAATCCTAAACCACTCCCCACAGCTGGGGAGAGAACCCAGGCATCCTGGCTCCCAGCCCCCCCCTGCTCTAACCACTAGACCCCACTCCCCTGCTAGAGCCAGAAGAGAACCCAAGAGTCCTGGTTCCCAGCCCCAGTAGAGCTGTTACCGGGCGTGATGGTGACGGAGCTCGGCGTGGCGTTCTGCCTGGGGCTGGCACAGAAGAAGACCCCCGAGTCGTTCATGTGGAGGGTTTGAACTTCGAGGGCGGAGGTTCGGGTTCCCTGATCCGTTAGGAGATGCAGCCACTTCATAAATCTCTCCAGCAGGCTGTTCCCTGCCCCACCCGCCATCGCTGTGTAGATCGTCTGTATCCCACTGCTGACACCAGCGCAGACCGGGTAGCGCGGGATCCACCGCCAGCTCAGGCTCGGCCCCGTCAGGTTGCAGGGAAGTTTCACAGTCGAGCCGGCTTCTGCCGTCACCACTGGACCTGCAAACACCAGAGCGGATGGGTCCTGCCCGACTGGAGAGACAGGGACGCCTTACCTGGCACTGAGATGCAGCCACCTCTGGGGTGGGGCCCGTATACAGGGATCCCCCGTGACCCTAGAGAACCCCTCCTTGCTAACGAGCAAAGGGGTCGCTGTTCGGCACCGGTAACCCCTGACAAAGCCCCCGCACGCAGCCCCTGGCCCTGGCAGTATTTCTCCACAGCGGGTTGGGTGAGGCCTCTCATAACGGCTCCCGGCTGCGGCCCTGCGTCTGAGCGCCGAACGGGGGCTGGGTCCCAGGCCGCGACGACGGACGAGCTTTGCCCGCCTGGCTCCAGACGCCTGGTCAGCCCCTGGAGGGCAAAGCCAGCTCAGTGCCGGGGGGCGGAGGGGCCAAACCAGAGTCAAGCCGGGATCTGGGGCCTGTTGCTTTGCAGTGTGGACGCAGTTCCGTGGACTCGTGAGGCAGGGGAGACTTACAGTCGCCTTTCCCCGCCCCCACTCTCCCCGGGGACCGCACCGGGGACCCGGGCGGCTGGGCTAAGGCCCATGTACCAGAGCCAGGGTCAGGGTTACAGATGAGTGTGGACGCCCCAGCCCTTGGCTGGCTAGCTCCGGCCAGACCTGGAGTCTGAGGCCCCGCTTCACACCCGGGGTTGAGCCCACCCCGGTGTAACCACTCCGAGACGGGTCACTCTTGGGGGTCAGAGGCAGACATGGGCCTGGGGAGCCGCGATGGGCCGCGGAGCCGAACCAAAGGAACTAGGGGTTCGCTGGGCCCTTGGGGGCAGTGAGCTGGGGATGTTCGGGGAGCCAGTGACCCAGGTGGGATGTCGCCTTGCGCTCTTCCCCCCCCCCCCCAGCCCCTCTGCAAGCCAGGCCAGGACTGGCCGTGCCCCGGGGAGGTGGCCGAACCGCCGGTGGTGTCAGGGAATTAGCACTGGCAAGTCTGGGGAACCCTGAGAAACCTCCCGCAGGGCTGAGATGCAGCCACCTCTGGGGTGGGGCGGCTGGTTATACAGGGATCCCTTTCCT